ATTGTGATTTGTACGGTATTCACGTTCACCTCTTGCATGCTTTCTGCCCACTATAATGGCTTAGCTATGATAGCAGACAGTGGTTGGACTACGTACAACCCGTTTGTGCAGTATGTTAGAATGTCGGAAGCCGGGGAATTGGAGGCTGGAGCCCAGAATTTTGAGGGTAGTCGGAATTCAATCGAATGAATAGCTACAGGAGATGAATAAGTCTCCGGAATGTTTCTTTCAGTCCAGATTGCTGTATTTCTACCCTGTTCACAATCTCCTTTGTACAATAGCTGTCTCGTTTTCTTATGTCCAAACTACAATTTTCAGACCGCGGGTCCGTTTCCTAGTGATGTTCCATCAACCTCCAGAGTTTGGTAAGCTACTCTTCGACTTAATCGCTTCTGCCTTTCTACACAATACCAAAATGTTGGTCCACAACATGACAGAAGCTAGTGCAATCACTGAGCAGTGATACTACCAAATAATAAGGTTCGCATAATATTTGTCACGATATGACAGGAAAATGAAAATAGGATTCTGATTTCTTTTTCCGACACATTTCTGAGGGCAGGACGCGATCGGGTAATGTGTGTTCTACCTGAACCTATTGCCCCGGCACAGTGGTGCAACTGACCAGATCTAGATAACTTGAAGGAGAAACGGCGTGGAAGCGGTTACGACGGGATTTTTTTCTGGCGATTGTCCGCGATGGGTCCTTTTCAACTGCTTGGTGGTTCTGTCGTTTTCCCATTCCAATAAACAATAAGCCAAAATAAGCAATCCAGCAAAACATCAAAGATTGTTGGAACAGCGCACTGCATAGTGGAATCGAATTGTTCACCCAAGAACAACAGTCAGATTTATCTCTCTCGTTTATGATGTCCTCCAGCTGCAGGACATCATAAACGAGATACTCAATTGAGTCTCCCGTGAAAACCAAATTGATTTGAAAATGAGTGTTTTTCTCGAATTATCGTTACTGTTGAAAACGGGCAGGTGCGCAACAACACTGTTACATCTGTATGTGTGTAAATCCATAAACTACTCCAATGAGATACCAACATCGAAGGAGAGAAGATACCTAATAGTAATTCTAGTCACTCCTGCACAGCATGCAATTTACATGTATAAAGTTGCTCTGTAGTGTCCCAAACCAAGGACATCCGCGCGCTGACGATGTGAACTCTGGTGACGAAACGTTTGAAATACAGTTGTTAAAGTCAGCGAACAGACTGGTAACCCCCGTAGCCTAATTTTTCTTACGTTTTGCCATCGTTTGCTCCAGTAGGCTCGATTTATCTACATTCAGCACAAACTGGATTAGAACCACATTGCAATCAATTGATTAAATGCCGTAGAATGCTGGTCTTCTTTTTTCGCTCACTCAAACAACGGTGACGACTTCCACCACCATGACCAGTGCTTTTATCTCAGCCAGTCTTTTGCTAGAGTCAGTCTGAGAACGGAACACGCTTACTTAAGAGAACTCACCAATGAGTTCAACGGAAAGACTGTAGCCGACAAAGTGCTCTCTCGCCCACCACATTTTTGGGCCAAACTCAGTGGATCGCTCTCAGTTTCTTCCATCTACTACATACTATTAAGAGAACCCGCGAAAAAATTAATACTTCATTAAATTTGAGTTCAGAAATTAGAGTCTTCATTGCTTTCAACCGAGATTACCCGTTAGAATTCAAACTTAACCTTCTGTGGTCAAAATATTTATTTACAGTGTGATGGGTAAATCCGATACATCCCGCATGGTGAATTTTTGGTCAGCTGCTAAAACGTTTTGCAGTCAGAACTGACCGAAGTGGCATTGGTAATAGGTTAAGTATACTCGTTTGCAACTTAGCTTGTGTTAGCGGAAAACTAAGACTAATCCCAGGTGGATCTGAGGCGGCCAAGCTTATAAGCCACAAGAATAGCGAAATCGGTCGCCGGCTGTTGAAGAGTTTCCAGCAACTTTGTTGGTAGTGCTTTTTTCAGGCTGTATGGGTAATAATCTTTTGTCCCGCGCTCTTGTACTCGCAGACCCAGACAGTGGAGGATGAAATTTTGCAGAGGCGTTTAAAACATCTCAGTATAAGCATCCATGGGGTGTTTTCAACCACAGTTATACGGGCATAGATATATTAGTATGGAGATACAGTTATAAGAATCCGTTATTGTAGTCGGAATTCAGCAACACTTAAATCATGAGGTGCGTGCATGTTCTATGTAGTAGAAAAATTCGTGCAGGCTCCCTAAAACTACTGTGTTCCGAAGAGCCAATCGGAAAATCCATCGTTTTCAAGGCAACTCGTTTTAACAAACCGAAGCTATATTACAAAACGGCTGAATTGCGGCTGATCTCCATAGGTCATTTTCCACTGAATTATGATGTTGCCGTCGGCCCACTTCCAGGTTAAATGTCAGAATAATATTCCTGAATACCTGAACGCCTAGCAGCCGTTTTAAGTTTCAGCTCCGTTAATTTCGGACGATTCTACTGTAGGGGAGCGTTATGGCTAAACTCTTCGAATCCAGGGATTGCGAGACCATTCCATATTTAGGCTCCGCATGGATCAGAATACGAGCTTTTCGTGTCAGCGGAACCTGTGATTAAGGTACACTCTGCTCCATTTTTACTTAACTGGCCACAGTCGATATGTTCAATCAGTCACCATATTTCTGGATACTGATAACCTAAGAAAAATTTCAGTCGTTTCGTCTCTCACACATTTTGTTCGAAGCCGATTTTCGATAGATGTTTGGTGAGCGTTTTACGGAGCTGGAGGCAAGAAGGACAGGACTGGTAAGTCTTATTGATGGTATCACCCACCATACATGCAAATGGAAAATTCCGGGAATGTGGGTTGAATTGAAGTAATTCAGATTGCCTCCATCACTCTGAAGTAATTCTGCACAAACAACAAAACCTTCCGTGTTATGCCGGTCATAATAGGTTTATTCTTCTCACGAACTTGTTGAAGTGGATAAAACATCCTTTCACTATTGATCTTGATATTAATGACGCTGGTTGCGGCACGGAGCAGAAAATTTCCAAAACCCAGTTATGATATTTTAAGGAACGGTATCCCGCGAAATGAGTTACTTCATACCGCAGGAAGCTATTTCGTAAGCCGATGCATTTCTGCTCTGAAGCACGACCATTGGCAGTGCTCATTGATGTATATCATTCAAGTTTCGGTCGACAAACCCCATCCATGCTACACACTGCCAGACGACTTTATCCAGTGGTTCGCGACTAATAGTTCCTCTCCGATCAAAATCAGATCATTGTCCATATTGCGCATTGAATGAATCGAGCAGGGAGAAATGTAGGCATCTCTATAAATTTAAACGAGACTCGTCCGAAAAGTTGTAATTGTGGGTGAAGATGAAAAGGAATCTTTAAACTCTCTGGTGCCCCTATTTCGAGTTTGTATTTTGCGGATAGTCGGCACAAGTACTGGTAAAAATAAGAAATAATGTCACTTCGTTCTCAACATCTGTGCAAGGTATGATCATACACATATGGGCGCCATTCACTCCGAGATAGTTGTGTATCGTCAGTAAGCTGATACCATCCACCCATGAAGTTAATGGTCGAAACAGCAAATTCCTACATCACAAGTGGCAATGAAACAATCAACAACCACCAATAACATTTGTCAAGATACAATAGGACATCGAATGTTAATTGATTTACAGTAATTGATGATTTAAATAGAGAGCGTAATTAGCAGTAATTAGCACAAACGTGATTGAGTCACCTGTTTATCATAGATTCGTAATCCCGGAAAAAGTAGTTGAAGTGGCATTCCCTTTAATTCCCTCTGCTAAGTTGATGAGAACAATTAACCAGGGCAGATTGTTTCTTAATTCTCGAGGAATAATTTCCCAAGAATCATTCAGTTTACTGATACCAATAGCCAGTTATTTCGCGCTAATTGGTACTTTGGCCTGAAATGATGGTTGGCCGAACTGTCCGAGATTCGAAGGGTGTCATAGAGTCCTAAACGAATCTCTGTACGTTTGATCACAAGTAAGCTCCTAAAGAACTACGAATGGCTCGTGAATGTTTGTTGAATACGGGACAAGTCAAGGTTCATTTCGTTGTTGAGGGCGGTGGTCTGTGTTGCGGAACAACTTCATCCATAATCAAATGTCTCGAAGTCATAAACGTGATTTGCTTCATGACACCACATTGCAACAAGTTTGAAGAAAACCCGCTGACCCCCCAATATCGTTTCGCGACCTACCAGTTTCACACAGTCCCTCTGTTTTCATCATCCTTGTTATCTACTTGGACATCGATTCGTACGTAAGAGAAGAAGTACTCTCAGTTAGCACGGAACTCATCTGATCCCTAGGTAACAATAACCTTCAGTTTAATGTACTTCACGCAGGCCACTTCAAGTTGCAGTTGGAACAGTACTTACAATACTGCAGTATGTTTTCTCTGACAGCCCACTACCCATTTTGTCCTTCCAGGGGCCCATCAGATGAGCGTCATTAATTAATCTGAACATTATTCCACTTATTCAAATAGTATTTCGATAACAGAAAATCGATGCGTGAATCAGCTAACTTGGGTTAACCCAGTATGTCGGAGTGGAGTGTTTTGTTTTTACTAATAGTATGCGAAAAAACTTGAGGTTTTGGGCAGTCTTTATGCAACAGTTTCATTTGAGGCTGAAGTCCTGTATATTTCCCAGAGTCCATTAATTAAACCAAAGTCGAAGGTTGGCTAAATTCGTTTCCATGTGAAAACATCCCACGAAGACTTGGGCTCTAACAGCGTTGCTGTTTAACCTCGGTTACATCACTCTGCAACTAAGCAGTATTCACTACTCAGTGCCAGTCGCGTACCAGATGTACCCTGAAAATGACAAAAGTGTATCTCAGAACCCCAAAGGCCTACTCCATTACTAGCTTGCCCTATCTGGCAAGTGAGTACATTGTCAAGGGACCCCCAATTTTCGGTACCCAATCCAAGTGGATGGAGAAACCACAAAACCTTTCACAGGAATACATTGTTTACGTGAGCATTTGAATTCGACGGAATCTGAAACCTGGAGTCATAAGTTATATAAACGCAAGCGATTCTCTGATGGACCGATCATGCCTAGTTCAAAGTCGCATTTTCCCTCCTCAATCTCCGTTGATCCCCCGTCTGACTAGTTATGGATTGTCGAACGCAGTCAGCAACTTCTTGTGAAAGTTGTGCCATTTCCACTTCTTGTCTTCTAATCAGACTTGTGAGGCGTTGGATTTCCTTGATATCCATTTCATTGTCCGAAGTATCGATGTAACCCATCTAAGCGGTGCAGAAGCGGAGCGAATGACAGTATAATATTCTAAACAGTCAATAGAGTTGGGAACCACTTTGAACATAACAGTCTTAGCAGCTGATTTTGTCGCAGTTCGAATAGTTTACGTCACCTACATTGTCCGGCAATCCAGCTAGAATCACTCAGTTAGGGAGACATCGTCAACTGCCAATTCATCCTGCCAGTGAGGCCAATCTATGCTGAGAAACCGAGAAGCACCGTAAAGCTGTTTCAAGGCCAATCTATGCTGAGAAACCGAGAAGCGCCGTAAAGCTGTTTCGTCTTTAGTGGGAATCGTAAGCACTGCGCATCTCAGGAAGCTCCAGGGGGTCTCGAACTCGCGACCTCCCTGCTGGTAGTTTGAAAAATTAATCAATCATAGATGTCACAATTAACCACAATGACCACAACTCCACAACCATGACCTCATTTCGACAAAAAGAAATCAGCTCAGGTCTTCTCATTCAAAACAGGTCAAGATACATTAAGTGATCGTCAGATTGTGACTGCACGTAGCTCACCTTATCGGCTGTTTACATTGCAGAAAGCATAAAAGTGGTGTCTTGCCGAAGCAGGACAAAGCAGGTGGAGAATCAGACGTTACACACTACTCATAAGGTTGCTGAAAATTATTCGACCTCAGTAAACTTAAAAGCTGTAGGTTACACCTCTACAATGTATTGCGATATTGGCGTATCGTAATAACTGAAACATGAGGCGTCCTGGTGCAACATATTCAGTTGAAGAACATCATGCACGAGAGATTCAGTTGGGTCTCCCGTGGAAACCATACAAGTACGCATTTAGCTAAGCGGAGGATTATGTACGTAGGTTTTGAGACAAAGTCGGGTGTGACGCTTAGATTAGAGTGGTTCGTACAAGGAATTTCCTATTTCCCGTAACAGGGGTGACCACTAAGTGGTTTGTCCGCAGTGAAGTAGAGCGACACCCGACATCGTTAACCTAATAATGACAACACCATTTATTGATCGTGGCCGTTTTTAAACATCGTTGTATAACTTTAAAGAGCTGAGGTGCAGAAGTCTTCACAAACTCAGTTTACTCTGGCACTGCTTTGAATCTCATTTATACCAGAGAAACATGTCTAATTAACAGAAATTGAGTATACTTCAGCGGTTTTATACACAGGAAGTAATGAAAATAGTGTATTTCGACGTAGTCTTGTGGATAGCTTCTAGCTTAGTGTCTGGTGATCTCTCTCATTCTACTTGTTGATTCATGGCTGTGTGGGTAGTGCCATCAGTGAAATACAGTCTGGTCTAAAGGGCCAGAATGCTTGAGATTCAGGATGGACTGTGGACTGCCATCCTCAGTTCTGTATGGACGTTTTAGTGCCTTTTTGTGGTCGGTGCAAGTCACTAACTATGGGAAATAGAGTAAAAACAATGGAACAACGTTACTCTACATCTCGATGCCTAATCAGCTCTTCTACAGCTATGGTGCACAACGGCATAGACCTCCCCAAACTGGTTGCCTTGACGACGTTGGCTTCCACGTTCGACTTTTGAGTAATGTACATTTGGAAACTGCATTGGAAGGACAGCAAACCACTCTTCAACTAATACGGAATATCTTATTCCATGGGCTTCGTTCTACTTGTGTTAGGTGTGCAGTCTGGCCGTTTTGTGGGGGTGAGGGCTAGGGTGGGGTGGATTAGATGATCGTCCTACTTTTGTCGTGTTATACAATCGTCTACTGAGCCTGAAGTGAGCCCCCTGAACGACATCATCTGATACAGTGACCTGAACATGGGTCAACGGTGAGTTTGTTGATGAATTGTTGTGATTGATGTATGAAACATAATCTGGTTCAGGGTAGGAGGAAAAATGATAAACAGTTGACCCAGCAGATTTTTAGAGGCGATTCTGATGTAGGCTGACAAGGTCAACCACTGAGTTATAAACTACCCGTAATTATCGTTGCATTTTTCCGCCACTTACCAACCTAAGCGAATGTCACACACACATGGTATTTGACATCATTCATACTGTGCGGATCATACAGAGCGGATCGTCTAAAACGATTATACTGTGTTGGCTGGTTCGGGAAGAAACAATTGTTTAATTGTCATGACTTGGTTCAGCTACATACGTTGCTTGCCTTCTGGTAGGTGCCGTTATCTTGGGATGATGGGGGAGCTTCAAGTGAAAACCGGGATCGGAACCGTCAGGTTGGATTTGGAGGGGCTTGGTCTCAACCTAGCATACATTATTCGTTAATGGAATCAGAAATGGATGGCAAGCTGTACGGATCTAACCTGTGACCGTCGTTCCTGGGCAGCAACAGCAGCTGCAGAGAATATTTGTGACGCCGGCCACTTCTGTAGGAAGGAACGGTGGTCCAAGCAAATACACTAGATCACCTAAAGTAAAAAAAACAAGACCAACTCACATTTAAGCCTTGCGTTTTGTTCAAGTCTGTCTGAAGTCGCTCCTTTTCATTGAATAGCATCAAGGTCTGCTTCAATGACGCTGTGTTTTCCCGGATTTGTGAGATACATGCATCGCGCGCCTCACGAATTCGGTCCTACAGAACAGCATAAGTAAATGAAAAAAGGGAGCATTTAAAACGCATTCGCTCAATGTGTATTCTTTCAAGCATGGTAGAATAACGTCCTATTTATAAATCACTTGAATTTTACCTCCTTCTGAACAACGAATTCAAGTGAGCTTCCAATGAATATCCCGTTCATCAGCCGAGGAGTCTTATCCAAAAGAGATTCATTCGAAGCTGTTTCGAACCAATTTACTACACTAAAGCTATAAGCACATGAGTTGGAAACGTGACGCGCACAAAGTGCGTTTAAACAAATTAGAATGTTAACGAAGTTCGGGAAATACGCCCACCTTATAGTTCTTAAACATATCAAAACTAGTTGATGTTGACCAATTTTAGGACACTGTTTCATCACCATCATTTTCAGCTGTAAGAACTGAGTACTTTTCGTACGGCTCCCCGACCGGCGAGTTCTCAGATGTAGGGCTCACTCGTTGTTCGGCCTCTCGAGCTACTTACGGTTTGTTAGTAGCACGGGGCGGTTCGAGAATTTTCAATCGAGTACCAGTCTACTGGCTTATCAATAAAGACAATGTATGTCAAGAGTCACCCCGGAGATTCATGAGATTCCGTTGAGTATATTGCACAAGAACCAACTCAATGTTTACTCGGAAACTCGGGGATCCCGTCTTCTGATGAACCTTAAGATGAGTGGTATCGGTCGCGGGCTATCTCAGTTTTCAGCTACCATATCAATATTGTATCTGGTGAGAAAATACATCACCGAATCTCTTTTACAACATGACAACTGATTTAAAGTTTATCGTTTAAAAAAGTTTAAAAGTTTAAGAGTTTATCGTTCCAATTAGTTCACCAGTTTACAGGTTATGGGGACGACAGGATCACTGCATCGGAAAACGACAAGTGGTTCACTAGGAAGCTGAAAATCCTATGATGTCCCGATGTGACGTATCAGAAGCTTTTGAAGTACTCAAATGCGAAACAGAGCAGGTCTTCAACCGGTTCGTCTGTGTCCTCCTCGACACCCCTGCGATATTTTCACTCAGTTTCACGTAAGCTAAACGATCATCTACCAAGACATGACTCGTCTGAAAACCTAACGACTGAGTACTGGTTGAGAATGAACCCCCGAACGTGGTTCTGAACACTAGCCGGAGTTATTCTTTGCCGTAACAATGGTAGATCTACCGAATGTAGTCAGGTTGCGATGCCCACATTTACATGTTGTTTCACTACACAAGTCAATGATACTTAATAGCCATACCTAGTGGTGAAAATATGGGCGAGTTTGAGTTTCGTGCAAAGTTCTCACAAATTTCGAATGACATCGGTGGACGGAGCTCGACTGTTGAAAATGAGAATGTGGAATTACTAAGTGCCGAACCTCCCAAACACAAACCTCGGGAGCTAGGAATCAATCTACCCAAACGGACATTTGACAGTTAAGTTAAGTGTGTCATCTAATTCAGCAGGCCTCCATAAAAGCTTGCTCCTCCCTGAGTGTTAGTTAGTATGTCAGTAGCTATTTGGTCTCCTTTAACCTTTGGAGTTGCACGCACCCGTGTTTACCAACATGGTATCCTATACCTACAGTTTGTGGGTGCACAGGCGGTGATAAATGTAGCAAACCTGACCCCCAACAACCGGAAACAGACTATCGTCAGTCTCGAGTTTGTGCGTTTGTTTCATTTGTTATCCTCTGATTAATCTAGCCTGCAACTGTCAATCCGATATGGCGTTCACGTCGGCTTCCTCGAGTTTTTTTCACTCCAACAGAAGACATAACCAGAACCAGCCCGAAGTAGCCTTGCTCGATTATCCTATCGGACCACGTAGCGTCTGAGTTCCTTTAAAACAAGAAAAGACGGATTTTTAACCCCGTTCCCTCCAGGACACTCCACATATTCCAGGTCCCAAGCTGTTGGCGGTCAGCGCCGTGTGAGGGGAGGGAGATGGAGAAGAGAATATAATTTCGTAAATAGCTTCTCAAGTGGTCCAATAAATGAAAAAAAAACAGTCCACGGGAGCGAGGAAACTTCACATTTGGGAAGTACATAAATATCCTACTGCCTCTTCACTGAAATGTTCCCTCATTATGGCCCAACGCCATTTAAGTAATTTTAACAGGTTTGGTATTCCAGACTGTAACTCAGAGCCCCTTGGAATTTACTCAGTATTATGTAGTTCATTCATATACTCCTACAAAACCGTCCTTAGGGATGGCGAAAATTGGTCTTTGAATGGCGGGCAGTTTTTTCTATACCAAACTGAACAATGACCCCCTTCAGTGTTTTGTGGGTTTGTGTCCACAGTCACCCAAGAACTTATTTTGCAACGTTTACATAAATACGGTGTCCATTCCATGCGCCTACTGCATTATTACACGTCTCCTTTGCAAAGGAGAAGTGTAAACTCTCCGCAAGAAATACTATTATAACTTCATTGATTAGTGGTACTACAGTACTTCAGTTAAAGCAGAAAGAACTACATCCATCGATGAAGGTCAGATATCTCAGACACATGCGCTTTAAGCACTCTGAGTGGAAGGATGGACAGTCGGTCAGAAAAGTAGACCACCAATCTTTCATGAACACTGCCGTATTCACATTCAGTCCATTGGTACAACTGACGTATCGTTATGGTTTTGAGAAGGTATTTTTATCTTGACGGTGTTTAAGACCTACATTCTGCTGGTTTTCAACTCCATCGCTCCGGTTTTTCCTGTACTCTAATGCTCTTTATCCAGTGTACTATGGAAACAGGAACCTGATAGCTAGTGCAGGTTGTCATATAAATACAACCCTTAAATATAAGTATCCTACGTACTGTATCTTGAAGCAATCGTGCACTAAGTGCTGATTGGTGAGTGTTATTCCAACAGGGTCGTGCAGTTAAACTATCTTATTTTTCCATCAATCTATAGTTCTTAATAAGTTCTATTTCGGGAGAAACGACTTGCCACAAACCGTAATGATGACTGATTACTCTTGGGATTACGCAGAGACTATCAAAATAGGTATAAATTTTGCACAAAAGTTTGTTTGGCGTATATCAAGAAAGTCAGCTGGCTGAGTAGCTTCATACTGCGCCATACTGCAGCAAAAACTTTTCAACATATCACCTCTCAGTTTTTTAGTTTATAAATCCGATCATAAACTCAAGTGTTTGCAGCCAATCACGGGACATTCGTTGTGTGCCCATATATTATGCCACCTGAGCATTCCATACCACACACTCTAGTTCTATCCAACAGAATCCGCCATAGAAGTAACTGCAGATGCAGCGGAATTCATATTGCCCTGACCCAAGTAATACATGTGATAACGAGGTTGTATATCGCTGTGTATAGCTTTTTCCAAAGGGAATTATGAACAGTCGCACTATCACAACCGGCTTGAAAATCTGGAGACAGATTGTTGTGCACCGCCTAAGCTGTTTCCATGTGATAGTGTCCTTCAGGAACCGCAAAAGTTTGCAGATATCTATAGTCTCATCCAGGTAAACCGACGCGGCTTGGGAATGTCGGCTGGTTGGTAGAGCTACCAAGATTATTCGACATTTGTCGTGAAAACACAATGAACAAACAATGGGTGCTTCGGATTGGGGAGATAGAAAAATGTTTAGCGTGGACAAAATAGCCATCGGTAGAGTGAAGTGAGATTATTATTATGTCTTACTCAAAATTTACCAATCTATTTTGCCACAATGCCGCCTAGTGTATGACTGAGGGTTTTGTGTGTAGGTGATCTCTGTAGATGTGTCCTATAATTGTAAATAGTGTCTGACAGAAGGATGATCGTATTGAAGTCATATGGCACCTAGGCTTACCCTTTTGGGTGATACTAATGCGGTTCGAAAATTGTATTTAAAATATCGCTTTAGTTTGGCGATCAGAATTCTCTGGAGCGAAATATGCTTAGTTGGCACCTAGTGGCTCATTTGCTAGTTGGATGGGTCCACATTCAGTCCATAAGAATGTGTGATAAGGAAGGAGGCACCCAATTTTCGTTTGACTTACCTCCATGCCAGCTTCTTCCTTCTCAAGCTCTTCTTGCAACATGAGCATTCTGGTTGTCATTTCTTCGAGTTTTGCATTGACCAGAACGCCTTCCATTCTTTCCAGATCCTCAATCCTACCGAATTTTTCAAACATCTCTTTGTCACAAACCGCAGTAATTTTTTCCAGCTCTTTCTGAAAAAAACAAAGGAAAAATAAGTGAGACGCATAGATTTACAGAATGTTTTTCCAAGGTAGCATTATATAAATGAACCCAGACTCGGGCTGAAGATCCACGAACTCTTTTGGTTATGGGCCGGTACTTCAGACAGCTGTCGAAACCACAAACCTCATGTAGTGGCAGGCCATTTTACTGACATCCCAGTCATAAATAGGATAGGAAGGCACCTAATACGAGTCAGCCATTACTCTACACAGAAGCATGAAATTGTGACAGCATTCATGATAGTCGTTTTTCTGGACGATAACCCAAGGTGAAAATGCTAGAAGTTCGGGCAAGAGTTAGGAGCGTTTGTTACACAACTATCACATTTGATGTGTAGCCATCTCGAACCCTCGGCTAAAGTTTGAACTCACTGCCCTTCTACAAGCTCTCGATCTAGCTTAGAATAGCTCATAACATACAGCAAAATATGCGTTTGATCGTTCGTTCATTTCTCATCGGAAATAGAGAACGGTGGACAGAATGATGAAGCAAACTTTGGCACACTATACTCCTGTCACAAAGACGTCCGTCCTAACGGTAATTCGGGTTCCAGCACTTCAGCATGAAGTGTTTCATTCTAACTCACACTGGGTTTTCCCGTATCTATCCAGCATTTGTAATGAAAACCGCTGTTTTTAAGCCACGCACCCTGAATTTGTCAGCCAACAAATTCGTCTGAGAAGCACGGCCGAGCCCGAAAACGCCGTACAGTTACGTTTTGACCCAATATCTAGAAGATTGACAAAACACTCACGGATACACCAACCAGTGGTCACAGCGGTAGGTCGTGGTCTACAAGATATCATTGTAATTGCCTAGCCTTCTAATTAATTACCCTTTACTAAGTATATGACCGAATTGGCGGCCCCTTGGCTCTCTAAATTGCTAAAGAGGAGGGTTTCCACCCATCTCATCTCATTTGGCATACTTCTGTCAAACTATAAGAAAAGTCTTCAGGGCTTCTGTCAGGGTCTGTGGGGCTGTACTAGCATAATAACATTAGCAGTCTGGAGGTTGTGAAAGTTATCATGGTATACTGGCGCAAACGACTCTAATGAGCTTCTTCATTGCCCTACCAGCTTGTACGAAAGTGGAATTTCCGATCCAACGGTACAGGCCGAGTTCGGAACCGTTGAAACAAAGTAAAACATCTCGTTTAGCAGACTGCCACTAAAATAAAGGGATGAAAGAACAACCGAACACAGAATGAATCTGAAATTATTAGTACTGAACAAACGGGGCATTCGAGGTCATGAGGTGCTGTTTTCAAAGGTAGAATTCAGCCCGACGGTACCAGTTTTACCTACATCCGAAAGTATATAAAGGCAAACACTTTCAAACAGGATTCATAGAAAATACTCAATGAAAATGCTATGCGGCACTTAAAAGTGAAGTTTTTTCTTTCACTCTTTCTTTTGTTTTGAGCGGCGAGAGTTCAGCAACAAGTCCGAGAATGGAATGGTCACTAGTTTTAAATATTGATGCTGGCATCTTAGGCGCATCGATATCAAAGACGTGGAGCTATAAAAAAACCCAACGCTCTGTTAGAAGAAAAAACTTTTGGTTTCAGTAGCCTCACTTCGTAGGGAAGTGTTTTTACATTACACGATGAACGTCCTATTGTCTCTTCAGGTCGCAGTCTCCATCAAGACGGGTCTTTCGTGAAGGGTTTATCCATGCAGGACTGGGAAGTTACAAGCCTGGGTATCCATTTCACGATGGACTGAAATACCTGTTGAGATTACTGGGTCTTATAACTATATTTCACTCTAGTTTCTTATACTATCTAGCCTTTCATAAGTATTTATGGTCCTCAAGCTGGTGAGTGATCAAGATGACAGAAACAGCATCCTTATCTAGGACTCATGGGCTAGAAACCTTCAGCAGTTTGGAATGTAATGTACCCAGCAGAAATCGATTGAGAATTTATAAAAGTCTCAATATTGAGCTTGTAGTCACAACTACCTGAAATAGTTTCTTATGTTTCTGTAACATGACATGTTTGTCTTTCGCGTCCTGCTGTTGGCGACAATGTTGCTTTTGTTCTTCCTGAAGTTCCCGAATTCTTTGGCGTAAAAGACACACATTCATCCGTTCGAACACAAGACCGGAGCTCAAGTCTGACGGAATGCTTGAATTTTGGTGATATTCAATTTGATTCATCCGCAATATCACAATCGTGTCCAGTTCGTTAAGCCTCCGTTGTTTTTCAAGCTAAATGGTGTGAAAATATTTAAATGTGACTGATGGACAGAAACGAACATAAGCAGTGGAAAAACGAAAGCCGTGTATTTGGGGCGATTAAAACTCGCCAAACGCAATATCACAATCGTGTCCAGTTCGTTAAGCCTCCGTTGTTTTTCAAGCTAAATGGTGTGAAAATATTTAAATGTGACTGATGGCAGAAACGAACATAAGCAGTGGAAAAACGAAAGCCGTGTATTTGGGGCGATTAAAATCTCGCCAAACGTGAGTGAGGGATCCATCACGTTGTCTTCTTCATGCTACTTATAAGTTCCGAGTAGGGTAAAATGTATGGCAAACAGAGACCAAGTCATTGTGTGGATCGCCAATGGTCCTGTGAGTACGTATCACCAGTCTTATTCCGAGAGAAATCTAGATAAGTATCTCTAAAATGTGTATCATTTAATTCCAAAGAAACCTGTGGAAAGCTCCTAGTTGTTTATGTTCACCATTTTTTACTTGGGAAAAGTCTGCGTTTCACAAGAAACTTTGTGTAGCAGTCGATAAGAAAACTTACCTGGAGCCGTTCTCGCACAGCCTATAAGAACTTGCGAGATAAACAGCGTAAGAAAGGAATATATGCCAAATTCCATCATGCTGGATGCTACCCAGTATAAAAAGCAATTCGAAGACTTTGCTGATGAAGAATTCGAAGATGCCCCAGGTCATGCATCGACAGGAACCATGTCCAGGAACCGTACATAAACACGATCAATTCTGTGGTGTGGTGAACCGGATCCTTGAGACCAAACTGCACATCTATTTCAAGTCTTTAGTAGAGAAAGTTGAAGAACCCGATTGCAGAATTTGTTGATTGTGCCCCGATATCATCGAATGAGCATTTCTTAGGGTTGATTCCACTGTCAAAGGATGTGGACATCCGCAGTAATTCTTCATGAATTACAAGGGGTCAATTAGGAGCTGCCTACTCTGAAGCGCGGTCTTTGAAAATTGAGACTATACTTTCTGCACAATGCAGGTCGGTGCAGTTTTTGGCTTTCGAGTTTCGGATTTCCAACACTCCCTTCATTATTTCACCGATGACGAATTTGAACGAAGACAGAGGGGCTAGACTTCCTTAATGGATACAACAGAATTTAGTATAAAGCTGTCAGCACGAAACATATGACCATCCAACGTGTCCCACACCGGTTCACAGAGGACAGGTTTTCTCGTGACTTTAAGCTGTACAATCATGAAACATTGTCGTCTGCCTGAAGTTGCTAGATACTACCTAGCAAAAGGAAGCTTTCGGTACCGTAAATACGCACCTATCGATCAGACCTAAATGCCGAGAGCACAGCATATTTTGCCAGACCTTTAGGTTATGGAGGAATTTTCGTATCCGTTTTTTAACAGAATATTTTTTTTCAAATTCTAAGCGGTGGCCAGACTAAATTTTTAGGAAATTTACTTGCTTTCATTCTATAAAGCCACATTTATCAGACATGTTTAACCTCTAGTTGATGGTGTTTCCTGTCAGTCGATGCAGATTATAATGTACACCGGATACCATAATTGGCCATAAAATGTATTGTAGAGAGGTTTTTAAGCGCAGAAAGATCACATCATACTATTTACTCGCCCGTATCATTCTCAAAACAGGTTGACAGAACTCATTTTTGGAAGGAATAGCAAGGTTAATTCTCTCAACCAGGTAGAGAGGAAGAACTCAAGCTCACTTGGAAGGCCTCCAACTCTGTCTGGGCTTGTTTTTGCGCTGCTTCTACAATGCGCTGCTTTTTTGTCCATCCTTCTAAGTCTTTCTTCAGGAGGTCTAGTGCCTTCTTTTCCTCACCGATTTCATCTTCCACGTCCAGACGACGTTCACGGATAGCAATTGTGCTTTCATAATCTTCAAGAGGGCAACCAGCTGGACAGGTGTCCAAATCCAGGATGTTATCTTCATCACTCTCATCCTCAGACTCGTCATAGCTTGAACCCTCCGAGGAAGAAGACGATTCGTCGGATCCCTCGGAGTCTATGAAACAAAGCGATATAGATGGTGTAATCTGTGTAACATATGCGAATATGGGGACAGAAACATGCACATAGTTTGATGTACATAGAATCAGAACTTCAGAAAGATGGAGAATGAATTTAGGTCAGCGATTTTGCACGGCTAAAAGCTCAAATTTAATACAAGCCTTCGGTTGACAGATTCCTCAATTACAATGGTGGCAATAATCAACTGCGTCTAACGGTATCTTATCAGGCTTGTATTATATGAAAAATTCACTGGATGGCTGACCTGATGAAAGCCTGTTGTGCTGTAATTTGGGGAATATACGGATCTCGGTTAACTGGCATCGCACCGCACTACTCAAAGCCTTCTCTTTAGTAAACGGTCGTCCACCGGTTGGTCACTAGTTGTGATATATTGTCGGCTGTTAGTACTCGATGTCGTCCTTCTATCAAAGTTGGACCGTATACCCCAGTTCACTTATCAGCGCCCATAATATTTTACTGTGCCTCTATAGTGTTACTGTGCCCGGAGTCTAACTTCTTACTCGAAAAATTTTTGACGGGGAATTTGTGTGAAGCCTTGGCTGTTGCTTAGAGGACTGTCCTTGGTTTTCGAATATCTTTCACCAAGTATCACCGAGCAGAAGTGCTTGTCTCTCTGTCTCGTAAGCAACAGGGAGCACTTGTCAATTTGAGGATTCACGGGTTCGAGTTGTGCCTAGGTTTTTTCATCAGTTCTCTATGTGCTTATGTGACAAATCAGGGTCAGCGAAATCGGCCTCTTTTCAATATAAACGGTGTAGCTGCATTTTGATATCTGCGGTATCGATCTGAAGCGAGCCGACGACATAGAAGTAAAAGGATTGTAAAAAATTCCTCATTGAAATAACAAGGATAAGTTCTCCTCAACAAAGAGGAAACCGGGTCAAGAGGGAGGCAGGCCTTTCGACACATCCAAGTATTCTACCTATGATTTTTACTCTCGGAGACTTCCACACTAATAGATTTTAAACTGTGGACAGATCACTACGTAAAGTATGAGCAATAGGTATCGGCCTCCCAGGAAGGACACGAAAGGACATTAGCCTTGTTGATCCAGGTACTGCAGTGGTCTTCGCTCCTGAACCTTTTCTATCAGCTGGAAAACCTGGCTTATTCAAGAGTGGGATTAATGTACGGTAGTGCCATGAGGCTTTGAACTTTGGCTGAGGTGCTATAACGTGCTACATGTCCGTAGGTTCTGAGGCTATGTTGAGTATAATTGTTGGGTAGTCTAGAAACTACTTCCACCGAATAAGAGGACCTTCTGCATAGAATCATTTGAAGGAGGCATTTTTGGAACCTTCATTACTTGCAATAAACATTCGTGGAAATTAAACGCTCATTGTCATTGCGGACCTGGACTGTTCTCTTTTTGTCGTAGCACAGATGAAATGAGGTCCTATAGTGAAAAGTTTCCTTTATTTACCTCCTCCAGTCGCCTCTTGTTTCTTGCGCTTTATTCTTTTTTTGAATACTTTCGTCAGGAAATCTGCGAAGCGATGTCCTTCGCCTAGACTTGCTTTGAATTCTTCATGTAACACGTGTTCTCGTTGGGCCAAGCGTTCCAGTTCCTTTCTTCTTGCTTCGATCTTGACATTCAAATCCGCTATCTGGCAATAATAAAACGGGATTGGTCCTTATGAGTAGAATTGAATAGAAAGGACTATAATAAAGAGTGTACAATGATATAAAGACAGTCAACAGTGATCCGTCTCTCTGGATATAATTTAGGTTACTGGTACACGAGTGTGAGGATTCTGTACTAAAGCTGTTTCGATGAAGGTGATTAAACTGCTGAAAGAACTTAAGGAATTAATCTACTTGTTGGATGTAGACTGCTTTTGCCCAAATGCTGGACAAGAGCACAGATTCCAAGACGGACCACTCGGATCAACCCCCAAACGTGACCTTAGCGGACAATGCAAAATTTTTCCTCCCCTTGATATCGGCTTCGATTTTACGCACATTTTTCCCATTTGAAGAATTATCCCGCGACTCTGGAACAAATGCCACGTTGGTTGATGCCGTTCCTGGGTATATCACCAGTCTCAATTTGTAGATAAGCGAGACATATTTTTTTTGCACCAGGACAGCTAGATGGGGAATTTAGTCCTCAGACCATTTTTAACCGGTCGTCTATTCAAAGTCATCGATTTTTTTTTAATTCAAGGTTAATTCAAGGTTTTTTGGTCTAAAAAGCAATTAACTTTACAAGGACCATAGGGTGAACGTATATATACAAAGGGCCGCAAAAATATGCGTAACGTCTACTGAGTATCACATGGAGTTAAATAGTTCCAGATTCGGTTTGGACATAAGATGTGCATCTAAATTGTTCTTGAAAATGGTTAAACTCGGCGAATGTACAACATTGGGAGGTAGGGAGTTCCAAATGAAACATACGCGGACCGCAAAAAAGTTCCGTCGACAGTTCACCCTCGAGTGAGGTACCGCGAGCGAAAAGTCATGCCTCCTGCCCGTTCGTGTTCGACGTCGGACAAAAAGGTCTTCCAGCGGATGATTAGGTGTCTTCAGTATATTATATGTTAGAATTAGGTCTCCCCTGATGCGCCGATAGTAGAAGTCAAATAGGTTGAGACTGGCAATCCTGTCTTCGTATGGTTTATTTTGCAATCCAATTACCAGCTTCGTGGCTCGATGATATATTCGCTGTAGAAGAATTATGTCTTTTTGAAGCCATGGTGACCAAGCTTGTATAGCGTATTCCATGGTTGGTCGGATGTAGGTATTGATTACTCGGGGCAGTGCCAGTCGAGTGAAACGACCAAAAATCCGTTTTAGGAGCGACAGGACTTGTGAGGTCCTCTTGTAGACGGCTGTGCATTGCAAGGAGTTTTTTAAACAGCTGCTGACCCACACGCCAAGATCTTTTTCTTCACTAGTCCAAGAAAGTGGTTGTGGACCCAACGTATAGTTATATGCAAAGGGCTTCCCTACACGGAGCATTTTACATTTTTGGAGGTTAAACGGTAGTCTGTTTTTCAGTGACCAATCATAAAGTGTATCGAGATCTTTTTGTAATCGGTGACTGTCTTCAATGGTGCGTATGCTTGACCATATCTTGATATCGTCTGCGAATAAAGTGATTTTACTGCTCACGAGCTCAGGTATATCGTTTACGTATAATAAAAATAAAGTAGGCCCAAGAACAGAGCCTTGGGGTACTCCACTTGTAGCTGCAATTGGCTTGGACAGAGCGCCGTCAACACATACACGCGCGTCTCGGTCAGCCAAATAGATTTCAAGCCAAGCCAGCAGCTTTCCCGTAATACCATAATGCTCGAGTTTTTGCAACAATATGTTATGGTTCACGCGATCAAATGCCTTGGAGATGTCTAGATAGCATGCGTGAACGGGATTTCCATTGTCCACAGCTTGCGTCCAGTCGTCTAAGGTAATGAGGAGATTGGACAGACAGGATCTGTTTTTTCTGAAACCATGCTGGGCAGCCGAAAGCAATCCGTTTTCCTCTAAGTGTTTAATGATTTTGTTTGCCACCAGTCGCTCAAGCACTTTGGAGATCACCGGCAACAGAGTCACCGGCCGGTAGTTTGACACGACCGAACGATTACCTCCTTTGTATATGGGAGTGATAACGCCCTTCTTCCAGTCGTTGGGAACCACACCGTTATTTAGGGACGAATTGAATAACTCAGCGAGAGGTGTGCATAGGGAATGAGCACACTGCTTGAGGATAAATGGTGTTATCTGATCGGCACCGGGAGATTTTCTGTGATTTAGTTCAAGTAACGTTCGGAGTACACATTCTGGAGTCACAATTACTTCATGTAGGGAGGTGGGCGGTGAGGGAGACATAAACGACATCCGGCTTATATATTCCTTCTGACAGTAAACAGTGGAATAGAACTCCGCCAGTTCTTCAGCTGCAGCTGACGCAGTGGCCGTCAGTCCATTAGGGGTATGCAGAGGTGAAATACCCGGTTTCACAGACGCCTTATTATTAATGATCCAATAGAGAAGCTTCGGATTTTTTTCCATTTTCTCTAAAAGCATTAGCTGGTAATCCTTTTTGTCGCTCGCGACCAGCGTGTTGACTTTATTTCTTAGTAACCGATATTTTTCCCATGTTGTTGTTGTTCGGTGACGTCGGTATTCAGCCCAGGCTGCATTTCGCTCCAGAATCCATTTTCGGGTTCTGCTTCGTAACTTAAAATCGAATCCCATCTGAGTATTCTTTGGAACGAAGTGGGAATGCAAACGTATTTTATTGACCAAGTTCCCCATGAAGCTAGACCATTGCTGGTGGACGTCTGGACCTTCTGAATACCAGTCCGTACAATGACTCAGGGTATTCGACAGTGCTTTCGTGTTCACTTTCCTGATCATTTTAAGCTCATCATTAGGTCTCACCGCCGAACAAACATAATCAAAAATGAGAACGACGTGATCACTCGATCCTAATGGACTTTCATATGCGATGTTTTCCACAACGTTCTCTTCGCTTGTTATGATGAGGTCCAGAATGGAAGGTATATCTGATCCTCTATACCGCGTGTTGCATGATATATGATTGTGAAAGTCAAGATCATGTAACGTCTCCTGGAAGGCACAATCGAGGGAATTTATCGGATGTTGTTGAGTCCGTAGCAAGTTTGGGAGATTGAAATCACCCATAATTAGTATCTTACTTTTATACCGGGAAGCCACGAGGCGCAGCTTCTCCATTATGGTGTAATTGTGCAGTTCCTCCGCTGAAGGTGGTCGATAGATCACACCAACAACACAGTCGTTTCCTGCTACCGTCTTTAACGAGCACCACAAGGTATCCGATAGTATCAAATCTTCATCAGTTAGCTCTTTGCACAATAGTTGCCTGCTATGGTAAATAGCTACACCACCTCCCCGAGAAATGCGATCCCGACGAAGAAGCGTCATTCCAGGGATGGCAAGTTCACTATCCGATAAGTGTGGCTGGAACCAAGTCTCGCTGATAGCAATCAAGTTTGGCAAATGCTTTTCACACAATTCAGATAATTCTGGAATCTTGTTAGTCAAGCATTGCGCGTTCGTGTATAAACATTTAATGGTGTTTATTGACAGCAGTGTTGGGCAGTACGCAAGATAATGTGCAGGTTGGGCGGTTATAATTGTGCCGACCCTGGCAGAGTCGGCAGCTGGTCGTTTTTTGAAGTTTCACCTACGGCTTCATCTTCATTAACCTTGGTCTCTTCTGTGGGTATATTGTTCCGCATGGATGTGCTTATCCTTAACTCCCTAGGGAGTAAGTTCCTGTGACGTTGCCATTGTGTTTGGATTAAGTTTAGCATATCACCACGAAGTAGTGTGAGTTTCAGGGGCCTCGGGCCGGTACCCAAATATTTTGGTGATTTCGGAATCCGATAAGTATCAACCACGGCCACGTTTTCAATTTCAAGTGTACTGCATAGAAATTGCCACTGCATGTAGTCGTGTGTGTTTTGCGCTATTTTATCTGACGTTTTGTTGGGTTCCGGAACACCCAAGATGATCAAACTGCGGTCATTTGTATGTTTGTTGGTTGAGTTTGTAGGATGAGGTGTATTTTTGCGCGATCTTTCCGACCACGGTATATCAGCGAAAATCCTTTCGCCATTGTCAGCTTCCCCCCTAAGTTGGAATGCTGATAATAGAATGCTCTCCAGGTCTTTCTCGGTATTAACGGTAACTCTGAGAAGTCTTGGCTTACCGTTATGTGGCGAATTCGGTGGTCGACTTAATCGTGTTAGGGAAACTGGTTCGATAGGTTTTAACTTCATTTTAGCGCAAAGTTTGAACCACTCCTCCAGTTCGCGCTTGTGCCTCGCTTGTAATAACGTATCGCAAGGTTCTGTGACATTAGTGCAAATAACACTAAGTCCCGATGATGCTTTCCGGTTATTACTGAGCGACATAGTTTTGGATTCAATGGCCTTTTTTGACGTTACTACATCAGTTTGTAACAGAGGTATGGAGTTCTTTGTTAATCCAACATGCTCCACTCCCCCCACCGGCCCAGACTCACGTGGTTGTAACAGCTCTTTGATATGTTTTAGTTGGTTCTCTAATGAGCCCAGTCTAATCTCCAATAGGTCATTCCTTTTGCTGATGTCATTTGTGTTCGCATTTTGGCTGCCGTTATCCAAGATGTTATCTCGACAAAGATTCTCTGGAAATTTCCACTTTGGAGCGTTTGTATCAGGTGCACAATATTTTCTTGTTTTATTTGCTGCAACATGTAACATGTAAGAATACACCTAAAATACCTAATGCAAATAGGTCCAACTGCGGTCAGTTCTGACAGTAATTAACTTGAAGACGCTGCATAGCATGCATCCAGTTTCTGAACAACTGGACACAGAATTTCAGAATTGTTTATAGCGTTCCATACAAACTCCATCGGCTAATTGAAAGCTAAACTCACAATCCTGCTTGGGAATAGTTAAGGCGCAAATGTCAGACAGCAATTTGATGAGTTATTCATCTATCCATACGGACTCTTGAGGCATAGCTTGTAATGACATGGTGAATGAAGGAAAATGAGGAAGGTCCAGTAAATTCAAGCCTGCGGTGTGTGCATGTTTGTCATTTGCAGCGGATGAGACTGGGAACGATCGATAACAATCACTGTCGTACAAGCCAGTGATGAACTCTTGTAGCTTTGGAGTACTTTTAGGTTGTTTTGGCTTAAGTGGGTCATGGTGGGCATTCCTATTAATCAGGTTAGCTGTAGCACCGCACACACGAAGACAGTCACGATGGGAAAATTTCAGAACAGACTTTTCTGACAATGGCGTCATTTCGGTTCGATTGGACAATGGAAAGTGATTTTCATGCACGAAATCTATGACGTATGAAGGTGTGATGTGTGTTCTAATCCACGTAATCTTGTGTCCGGAGAAGCAGAGCTTGCCAAAACACACGAAATGAATACACAACTTCGGGTTTACGATCAACGTGTTACAAATCTACCTGAAATATACAGTTTATTGGTGACAAAACTTGTGCGGATGTTGCTCCAGTACTGATTTCAGTAGATTTAACCGTACAGAGAATACGAGCCGACTTGCTGTGTCAAGCCAGATTTTCGGCTGAAGTTTCCCAAGACAAAGACCAAACTACGAAAGAAACTGCACAATGATCGGGTCAGTTCCATAAAAAATCTTCAAACGGGCGTTTTTTGAGTGATGACGAAAACATGTCACCAGACACGCAACAATAAATACCACCCATGACTTTGTATTTCAATACACTGAACATGTTGCTTTACAGAACGATGCGATCTGCCCGAAATCGATTGCTAAAAGTTTATCGTTTCGCTTGCGTGAGTCACCAACTAGTCTGAATGACAAGTACAAAGTTGACAAGCCTGGCCGTTAAATTGGTGATGAAATTATAGATGTCCAATGTTAGGCATGGAGGAAGAAAGGATGTTTGTTCATCATACCTTTTCCTGTACTTCTAGTTTTTCACCATCTCGAAGGCGTTTCTTCTCGGTCAAAACCATCTCAGACTTTTCAAATTCCTTCAGAAGGCGATATTCCTCGAATACAGTGAGCTGATGTGATTCGGCTCGCTTGAGCAGCACATTTAGCTTAAATTGAACATGTCGCAAAAGCCGTACCTCGGCGTCAAACCCTCGAACTAGGCGACCAGCAGCATTAAGTAGCTCCTGTCGATGGTACATTGCTCGCAGCTGACGCTGTATTTCATCCTCCGTATCCATAGTACATTGGAAGGTGCTGTTGGGCAATGCAAGCTGACCCACTTCAGCATCAGAACGGGAAGATTGCCTGAGTGAAAATGGGAAGGTAGACATGCTGATTAAAAACGACTGGTAACAGGCAAATTATGTATGCTGGATATGGGACCTATTTTCAAACCGAGTGTAGATGTCAGAAATACGGGGCCTGTGAGAGACAAACAGTCACCTCTCTTCTCAAGCAATCTGCTGCAAGCGTGAAGTCGTCAGGGTGACCTCGGAATTGTTAACCATTGATTCTTTTGCACTGACATAATGCACTGATATAGTTCTGAAGTCCACCCTAGTCACTGAAATACTGGCAAATAGCGTAACGATTGTTCGTCGATAACTCGCATGTAGAACATACCCTAGTCACTGAAATACTGACAAATAGCGTAACGATTGTTCGTCGATAACTTTCTTCATCCACTTAGGTGTCAAGTGGCTGTTAGTATACGATTTACCAACCGATAACAGGCACAGCAACGCTAACTCATAAGCTTTATCAGCTCCAATGAGCCACATTCCATTGACGAATCAGGCACTTACTTAGCTGGAACGTCTATAACAGTCGAAGAGCCTGTGTAGCCCGTAAATGTGTGTCCAAGTCGTTTGTGGCAGTCATTTTCAGCAGCAGTCACCAGAAGTGATCCAGAGCACAAAACCATTGCCTTTATTGGCAATGGTATGAGAACCATTCTACTTACAAGTAAAATGGGACCCATGAACAAAGTCACGGAAAAACAGAAGACAGATTTTTGTGGCGGAGAGTTTTAACATACTCCTAGTGTAGGGGTGATACCACTGGTAAGGGGGACATGTGATTAGTGTGTTTTCTTGTAAATTCGCTTTGTGTCTCTTGAAAAAGGAGATATATTGCGGAATTTGTGGAACCGCTTTGTAACATTTGCTTGGATTTGATCAACGTACAAAGAGAAATTGGATATTCAGTTTTTGTAAACAAGATGCATGTGACAGTTTTGTTTCCCTTTCCAATAGTCTGTAACCGTTCAGTTGGCATTTTCTAATAAATGACTCCACAGCGAAGGCCTTCCTCCTCTCACTCACGGCGACCATAGATGCTGGTCACCTCGGATGGTCCAACTAAGCTGATCATGCTTGTTTAACCGGTCCCCTTCGAACACTCGTTGTTTACTTCCATGTCTGTCCTCTCCAGCTGTAGAATTTTCAGTCTAACAATATATATATATATATATATATATCCATGTGTGCGAATTGTTCGCATGTAAGTCTAAGCAGTAAGTTGTTGAGTACAAGGCTGGTTTGAATCCCAGCAGTAACTATGGTGAACCAAGTAGGGGAACTACAGATGGGATGTGGCCAAGATAGCACATGTTTTCCAGCATCCTAACTTTATAGAACAACAAGTCCTGGTTTCGGGGAGAATAATCCTTGCGTTAGATATCCTACTGGCTGCATTTTTGTGTATTTTGCCAGAAAAAGATGGGACGTCCACCAAACCAAGATTAACTGTCGGAGGCAGTGGCGATGTTGGGAGATGGTCCATTCTTTGGAGCGAAAATAAGTTCTCTTCTGATCATCCATATGGTAGCAGCTGCCACCAACCGTGGTCGAATAAAACTTCGATCCAACAAACCCGAGAGGAGCACTCATTAAGGAAGTTTCATGTTAAAAATGATCAAGAATGAGCCATATTCAGTAAGTGGGGTTGGCATAATTTACAACTACATGGTATAGGCGGAACTATCAGAGTTTTCCACTGAAGAAGAAGACTTGAAATAGTTTATCCCCTCTATCTATCTCTACATAAATAGTTGGTTGCCCACTATGATGAGGGCCTATTATAAATACGTTGCCAGACATTAGGTAACTTACGTGATAAATCTTTCACAACACTACGGGTAAACTTACAGACTTGCCCTCTTTACCAAATCAAAAAACTTAAATAATGATTCTCCAGAACCTTTGCGCTATGGACCATACCCAGCTTAACGGGAGAGTTTTGAGTGCAGATAACCCCAGCTCTCTGGTATTTACAGTCCTAAATGTGTAGAGGTTAAGTTTTAGTTTCACAGAGGTCCCCTCACACCATGGAATATGTGCAGCACAGGCAAAATGCAACTCTTGAGGCAGGAAAATTCATTTTAGATAGCCTCTATTCCTTACAAAAATGACATTTTCCGAGCACCTGAAGTGGGCATCAAAAACATCTACGCCAAAACTCAGTTTTTAACTTTAACCCCAAATGAATTCAAAGTAGCATAAGGAACGTGGGTACAGTAATTCTAAGACAGATAATAATGAAATTTTATTTCTTTCCTAGAATTACTTCGATTTACACGAAAAACTTCACCCAGTTTTCTCCTAGTCGCTAATGCTTTATCACTTTTCAAGTTAAAACCAAACATTGGTGCCCAAAACTTCAGTTTAGAGGAATGCACGGCATTCTTCGCTTTTTCTGTCGACAAACAGTTCTTTTTTATATATTATTTAGCTGTAAGTCCCTTTAGAGGCTTGATGCATTTTGGTGACCGTGAGTGTAAAAGTAAGGTAATCTAATCTACGCTGTGAGACAGGAGAGTGGGTCAAGTGAGGGCCTATTAATAATACGTTGCCAGACATTAGGTAACTTACCTGATAAATCTTTCACAACACTACGGGCAAACTTACAGACTTGCCCTCTTTACCAAATATGAGGGCCTATTATAAATACGTTGCCAGACATTAGGTAACTTACGTGATAAATCTTTCACAACACTACGGGTAAACTTACAGACTTGCCCTCTTTACCAAATCAAAAAACTTAAATAATGATTCTCCAGAACCTTTGCGCTATGGACCATACCCAGCTTAACGGGAGAGTTTTGAGTGCAGATAACCCCAGCTCTCCGGTATTTACAGTCCTAAATGTGTAGAGGTTAAGTTTTAGTTTCACAGAGGTCCCCTCACACCATGGAATATGTGCAGCACAGGCAAAATGCAACTCTTGAGGCAGGAAAATTCATTTTAGATAGCCTCTATTCCTTACAAAAATGACATTTTCCGAGCACCTGAAGTGGGCATCAAAAACATCTACGCCAAAACTCAGTTTTTAACTTTAACCCCAAATGAATTCAAAGTAGCATAAGGAACGTGGGTACAGTAATTCTAAGACAGATAATAATGAAATTTTATTTCTTTCCTAGAATTACTTCGATTTACACGAAAAACTTCACCCAGTTTTCTCCTAGTCGCTAATGCTTTATCACTTTTCAAGTTAAAACCAAACATTGGTGCCCAAAACTTCAGTTTAGAGGAATGCACGGCATTCTTCGCTTTTTCTGTCGACAAACAGTTCTTTTTTATATATTATTTAGCTGTAAGTCCCTTTAGAGGCTTGATGCATTTTGGTGACCGTGAGTGTAAAAGTAAGGTAATCTAATCTACGCTGTGAAACAGGAGAGTGGGTCAGTAGGCCAAAACAACGGGTTACTACCACTACGTACGTTTGCATGGTCAAGTTAAAAGTTATACTTACATTTCTTCTGCGCCCTCCGGTGGTGGTAACTGTTTCTGGCTATCAATATCCGATTGTGTAACGTCGTTGGTTGTGTGTTTGCGCAGGTACTGCTGTATCAAGTCATCCTCTGAGCTGGCAGAGATGTAGCCGTGCGATACACTGACATGCGCTGGTCGCATGTCGCGGCTACTAGTGATCAGACGCAGATTCGAGAAGGCCTCTAAGCTAGACTCGTCTAAAGCAATGAGGTGGGGTGGTGGGGCACCAACGAGACCCGTCACTGGTGGTCGTCTGAGAGCGCAATGAGCTAACTCTTTACTCAAGCTGACTACGCACGAATCGGTGGCTAAAATATGCAATGGTATCGTGATCACTGGTCGTGCCGTAGCTCGAATCGACTGAGAGTCAACTTCGACGTCCGGTTCGTTCTGACTGAGCAGATCTGGGCACGCAGACTCACTGAACCTGTGCACACGGGTATCTAGGTCCTGATTTGCAGAAAGTAAGACAATTACATAAATTAAACTTTTACTTTGAGAACCATTTTAGAACTTTTGGTCCTACAAAACGAGGCTTTCTTGTTGGCAGGTTAATTACAGATAACACGGTTTGCGAACAGTCAAAATAAGCTCAGGACTAGTCAAATGTCAGATAAGTAGGCTCATTTAATTTAGATTTCTTGTAGCTACAAAGTGAGAGCTTAGGGAATGTCGAGCTAGCTCTCCTAAAATGAGAATATGGCTACTTAAACCCCCCAGCTTGAGTTATGAGTGTTCTGTTTGGACTTGATTTGCGCAAACAGTAAACTAAGCTAGACGGTAACCTTGGTCACGTGACTTACCGATGACGCTGATGGTGAATCAATCTGCGACAGGACTCCTCTTATCTCATGCAGGATGACAAGTGATTATCACGTCAGTAAAACAACTTAAACCAGAATTTGCTGACTGAACTTGTAGACGAGAAATGCGGTACAAGAAACGACTGGACAGTATCCCGTGAGACGGCTTACAGTTGTTTTTTATTACGGAATCTATGTCGAACATCTGACGAGCACATCTATACCTGCAAAATTATACTAATTACTTGCAAATTCTTAATGAAATTCCCGAATGTGCCCGGGCATCCAAACACTCATCCGTACAGGTATCGTGGGTGAACTTGGTCCACAAACCATAGTGTATTTACCCGAAGTGTCAAAGATTGACGCAATATACCATCGAGGATAAGTGAGCCTCAGACAAGAGATTTTTAGTTTCCGACCACCTTCCTGTTGCAATGCTTCCCTTTGAGAGATTACCAGGGAATTCCGGAATGTTTCCCCGGATGGAAGGTGGTTTCCCGAGGAAGGGCAACCAAAAAGAATCACATCGTACGATATATGCACCGATGTAATCAAAGTTACTTCAAATTTGAATTTCTAATTGCTTTCAAGAAGCTGAGATTTAATTTTGCATTTTGTTTGAAGCGAATGCTCCAGATACTCAGTGCTTCTTCAAATCTTTGCTGCAACACAGCAGTTCAACTTGATGGTATCGCCTCCTGCTATCTAGGTAGTCAGGAACTGGTAGTTCTTTCGCTAAACTAAACTTACGTAAGAACTAGCAAACACAAAATTCTATCACACTGATTTATTTATTTCCCCGGTGAAAGAAAAAGCTTCGGTTCCAGAAATGACTGTTCGGTGGATACGTTTCCTGTTGTGGGTCTGTCCTCGATGGAGAGTACTGCCGAGTCTGTCAACTCACAGGTAGGCGATATAACGATGGAATTGTGGGCCAACTAGCGGCCAGTTTAGCGCACTGATATGTGTAAATTTTACTCTGATGTTGGAGTAGAAATTCGCCGACAGACGACCAACTTTGTTTACCGCGAGTATTATGACAGGAGGTCGAAGCAGAAACTTCAAACATGAACCTCAAGCACTGAACTTTAAAAAATGCTCTGAAGGTTGGTAAGCCCTCACACCAATTACCCACAATGTGTTTTCTAGGACCCATTAAAAATGTCGGAAGAGTGCCTAAACGTTTACCGTCGTGTACGACTGGTTCAAGCGTATGGGAGATGGATAGTCAGTTTGCGTAAAATTACCAAGCTTACCTTCAGCAAGCTCCAGGTCAACGATTTTGTAACGCTTAGGGAACTTTGTGCTTCATTAAGTTCATCGTGTTCGCGTTTGAAGCGAAGCAGTCGAGTTTTGTCATAGTGGAACTCTCTGTAAAGGAAAGAACAATAAGGGGAAGATCACGTTGATCTACTCTAGAACACAGCGATGCACACTGTGCTGACACAGTCTAGATATGGATAGCTATGGTGAGACGTAGCGTGTGCGCTGGATGACTAGAAAACTGCATCCACTGGCTGTAGAGGATGGTGCTCGAGGTTCGGGTTTTGCGGGTATGCGGACAATCAGTCCCTTATTTGATCTATTCTGTGGAGAACTTTATTTTTTGTTCAGTTTGGGGAACTGTGGACACTTTGATGAATTTTCGCTGTGTCAGTAGGTATGAATTATGGCATGAGGTCGTGTGCTTATGTCTGACTGAAGCTATCCAGTGTGTGCTGTGAACTTCCTACACTGTTGAAGAGTACAAAGCGCCAGCAGATGATGATGGACTTTGAGTTCCTGCCGCCAGAATTAGTCTAACAATTAACACAACGCCGCACTGGTTTATTGCAACAGTATGCCTTCGGAATGCAGTTATTTGTTACAAAGGACCCCTGGTGCTTCGGCCTAGACAGGCTTGCGCAAAATGCTTCTTAATTTAGCGAATATACACTCAGTTGCAAAATAATTTGGTTTTCTGGATAGACTCACCTGGAACCCAGCTGAAGCTCTCGTTTGTGATGTTCTCAGGCAACTGAATGTGCTGCAGCAGGCCGCTTCATGTTTCAGTCGCTACGATATTCCAGATATCGCGATACATGTATAACTTTGTACTGTACTACTCATTAGGTTACTGACGGAAACCCGGGGACTGCGCCTACCTGATGAGCCCGAAAAAGGACGAAACCGGTAGTGGGCTGTCGATGGATTTTCAGCAACCTTATGAGTAGTACATTGCAAAGATATGCTTCTTACTTTGTTTTTTTGTGCGTCACACTAATGGGGTCAAGGGATTCACGCATTTTGTCTTGAATGCAGGCATGTTAGTGGTCAAATTCCACTGACCCCTGACGCATCAACCTGTCTGAAACTTGGACCAAGCCCACCGACTTGGCTCGTTCGTAATGGGCCATATGGGGTTTGATCCCAGGATAACTTAAAGGTTTCCTGCAAATTTGATATTCAGGTGTGATCAGTTGATGCCTTAGCAGGAAAAGATATATACCCACGAGCGAAGTTCAATGTCCTATTTTCAATCATATAGCGGATTTCATGTGAGTATTTGTTTTTGTAATTTGGGTTGACCAGCTCCCTCATGATAGGTCAATTCAGCATGAAGAGTTCATGGAAAAACTTGACCCAAAGCACCTGTGTGACGAAAACCAGTGATTCACAGGACAATGAAGGAGGAAGGGATACGTATAACTTTGATAACTCGTTCACCGGCCTTTGACGTTCCAGAAAATCATTTAAGTGGTCCAGAAGTGGAAACTGAATGGGTCATTTCAGAAAAAGACCATATACTTTTCTGTTGGACCAAGCTTGATGAATCAAGATGCCCAGGCAATATTACAGTCTTCGAAGGTGATGATTGCAACACAGTGAGGACGTCATTATAGCCATAAGCCTACTTGAAAGGCTATCTCGCAAAACAAACATGCACAGACGCCACTAGCATCTCATAGTTCATGAAACAACTGCTATGTACTACCACTGCCCTCTGCAAAACAATGCAAAGGAGCATACATTTTTCAACTTGGCCAGACGAAATTGATCATTCGGTTCGAACGCTGGACATTCTTACTATGCCACCAGCACTTTTCGCCAATTCACAACAACAGTTATCTGTAGTAACTCGGATAAATTTGACCGTCAAGTTGTCTATCTGCAAGTTTGAAGCATTAGAGTAGTCAGGGTTAAAACAGACTTTTCTACAGTAAAACATGTCGGATCACCTCTGCTACAAAGCTAAAAGCATTTTTGATTCAGAAATGAGACAATGACGCTTATTAATTTTATGTCAGTGGTTATTTCGCCGGACGATCAAGCAAACCCCACAAACGGTGACTGCCTTCGCATACTACTAGCCATGGTCAGGGAACAAGTTCCAACTGGCGCACGGCGAAACAAAGATGGACTGCTTTGTGTGATCAACCGATCAATGCAACCGTCATAAAGATGCATGCGCCCAATGATATAGCCCGTACAACTGAGTGAACTCGATTTGCTTGACGTATGACAGCTATTGGGGGAGTGAGGGCGTAACTATGAAATCAGATGGAAAACCGTTTTTAGGAGCCAAGGAGTGGCATTATGTGAAGGGCACAGCTAGAGATCGCTATCATAATGTCCTGTGCTTCTACGGCAAAACAGGTGAGAGTGGCCAGGACATGACCTGTGAAAACCAGGTTCCGAACTGCTGAAGCCTCTTCTGTCGCAATCGCTCTGCTCAGAATTACGCACCGGGGGACAATTGGAAACTTTGCTAATAAGTTTCAAGGCATGCCATGAACTACTGCGTTTGGAGGTGCTGTGCGGGTTCAAACAATGGAACAGAAACTGGATGACGCTGTGCTCGGGCCCTACTTCCGATTGTACTTCATAGATAGCAGAGATCCGGAATATTCCTGGAGCCTACTCATTACCATCAACTTTGCCGTAAAGCAAGTAGCAAGTAAGTATAACTAAGGTATCGCTTGAAAGAAATGTGTGCAAATTTAGGGAAACATCAACGACACACCTCAAATTCTCATTCGTTGTGTTTGCCGATGGCTGTGAGGTATTTACCAGTAAATCGAATTGAACAGGTTTAACCTCAGGATTGCAACAGCAAACATTACAATATGCACGTATGGATGAGTATAGCCGGTTCGTTTTGGAGAATCTAATACACGTATAGCAATTAAAACGAGGTCGAGAAAAGCGAAAATGGTCGAATAATGAAGCACACGCGTTTGCTCACGTTGACGTTTGATTGCTACATATTTGTGCTCCAGAGAACGAAATCAACTTTGGAAGGAATCCGTTGTATGAGAGGATCAGTTTCGTCATTGCGGTAGATGTTCTATGTAAACGGGATTTGTTCGTCCGTGTATCACTACTGTTCAGGTGCGATTGGTTTAATCACCTACTTAACATCCCTCTGTGAAAAACGATTGCATACAGATGGCAAATATTTATCACCATTCCAGATAGGAGCACCGATACCAGTCTGCGAACTAAACACCTGAACTATCACAACAATGTGGAGCGCCAAATTTGGAACAGCTAGTTGGAACAGTTAGTGCTGTGAGCACCAGAGGACAAGGGGTTGTGAAATTCACGCCTCGAGGAAAAAGAAACGTTTTTGCCAATCGGTAAAAGTCAGCTTTCTGACATTTTCCACCCAGGTAACTTTTCTACAAAAAAAATCACTGCAAACTAACAAAAGAATAAATTACTTTTCGGGATACTCTTCTCGATCCCAGTCAGGGATTTCTAATCGAAATATGGGCTCTCCTTCCGGTAAATCTGTTTGCAAATCGCGAAGCATCCCATTAATTGTTTCTAGTTCCTGCACAATTAGCGTCTTTTTATCCCGCAGAGCAAACACTGTGCTGTTGAATTCGTGACGAAGCCTAAAGACCTGTAATCAGAAAACAGATTGATAGAGTTAGTAAGTTAGAGTCAGTAACGTGCGGAGGGAGATTGGCTTTCAAAAGAAGGAGCAGAGCAAATGCTGTTGAATTCGTGACGAAGCCTAAAGACCTGTAATCAGAAAACAGATTGATAGAGTTAGTAAGTTAGAGTCAGTAACGTAACGTGGGAGATTGGCTTTCAAAAGAAGGGAGAACTTGGGAAATAGCCTCATCTGCATATATATATATATATATATATATATATATAATT